GGGTACCCCTTGGAAAAATCTCGGAAAAATCGAAAAATTTTTTTTTGTTGTTTATTATTAGCAATGTTCTTCCGACGTGTGATTTCTTTTTAAAAAATGTGTTTCTAAAGTGCATAAACTTTTGGGAGTGACTGTATAGCCAATATATCCTTAAACTGCATTACTTAAGCATAATCGGTGATTTGGATTCCAGGGAGGTGAGACAGAAAGCGAACGTCACGTTCCACCCTGAGAATCACACGGTTAGCTACTTCAATCGACGATGGTGGTACTACGAGCCGGAATTGACCAACGGTTCCTTGAACGATCGGATCACCCAATTGAACACCGTCGCGATAGTGAGTAAATAAAAATATGGTAAATGACCAAAGTTCACGTTAAACCGCGTGTTCATCTAAGCAAAAATACGAGCGATGCAAGGCAACTCGTAGTTTACCGAGGCGACGAACGAGACAGCAATTTACAATAAACTCAATGAACGTGCCGTTCACACGTAACCGATTCCGATCGGATCAGCTTCCGAATACCTCAATCTCTGCGGTGCACAACCGAATGCCTCGTTTGCGTTCGTACTCAGATGAATAAACGGCTCTACAATTTCTATTGGCTTAAGATTGCATTTAAATACATAGAAATTGGAATATTTACTATACTAAAGTGAATTGTTTTTGTGCTTCAGTCGGCGAAACACAAAGTACGATTCTGGGACCTAGCTCTGCAGAGCACCCTGTCGTTCATGCTGTCGACGACGTCCATATACAACACGAAGACCGTGGACGAGCTGCTGTTCAAAGGGTACAGCGACTCCCTGATCGACATCGGAAAGATGACGGGGATGGGAGAGGACATCCCGCCGTTCGACAAGTTCGGCTGGTTCTATGCGGTAACTGTTACGACCGATTGAAATAGTAGACCGGGGTTAAGACGGGCTGGTAAGAAGGCGCGCAGGGTGACGGAAAATTGTTTATTTAATTGTGCCGAGGGCACTTGCGCAGAAGGTCGGAGATGCGATTAGCGCCGTGGCTGCAACGGCATTGCAGCCGGCGATAAATTATTCGCAGCGAGACTTAAATTGGTACTGAATAGAACAGGTCACGTGTAGGTCGGTGAATGACGAATGAAAAGCAATGGGAGGCATATTATGTATTAATTTGTTACGTCACGCATGCAACATTTACGACGAGTCAATCCCGGCCCGCCTCCTTTTCCTTTTCAAAGGAAAAAAAGAAACTCGAGCGGTACTTGTCGGCCATAAATCGTTCAGTTTACTCGGCCACTTGAAAGTTAGAAAAAACAGAAAGGTGCTCTGTTTATCACCTTTATCAAACGTCACCTGAGACAGAAATATGTTCAGTCTAACCGATACGATTCTTATCTTACAGAGGAACGGTTCCACGATGTTCGATGGCCATTTCAACATGGACACAGGCGTCGAGGACATCGCTAATTTCGGGGTTCTACGAAACTGGAACTATAAGGACACCACCAGATTTTTTAGGAGCCCGTGCAACCAGGTAGAAGGTAGCGCAGGGGAATTCTGGCCACCCTATCAGAAGAAAGACGAGATCGTCTTATTTAGCGGTGATCTGTGTAGGTCAGTGTGCATCGAATTTTATAAATTGCTTCCTATAGCAAAGCTGATCAATTATAATAAATAGTATAAAATCTTCAATACCCGAAATGCTATAAAATATATAAAACGATAAATCGTTCAATTTTTAAGAGTGTAGGTCAGTGTGCATCGAATTTTATAAATTGCTTCCTATAGCAAAGCTGATCAATTATAATAAATAGTATAAAATCTTCAATACCCGAAATGCTATAAAATATATAAAACGATAAATCGTTCAATTTTTAAGGGTTCCAATATGTAATATAACTGTATTACGAAAAACGTTGTCTGTGGTCAGCAGCTGCGGCGAGTAACAAAAGAAACGCGTTGCGCGATCGTTAATTACTATCGTCTATCCGCGGGGTATTAGTCATCAGACAGTCTTAATTCCCGAGTTAGCCCATTAACCTTCGAGACACATAAATTGGATCGTCCGGTAATCCCGTTTACGCGAGTCGACTAGGCAAAGTCGATAATTTCGCCTCCTATTGTTAACAGAACCCGAGGTCATCGAAGTTTAATGCGATCCAATTCAAAGCCATTTGAGAAACCAATTGAAATTTTCATTAAACATTTTTCGTTTAAATTCTGACTCATGGCAATGAAAAATTTTATTTATAAACGTGAGATTTTCATTTTTCACAGGCCAATGGTGTACGAGTACGAGCAAACGGTGGACCACATGGGCGTCGAGGGTTACCAATACGTCCTAAGCGAGAAGACGTTGGGAAACAGTACGAGGCGTCGCTATCCTCATGACCAAGCGAGATATTTCGAACCGACGACCACCACCGGGGATTTCTTCGATGCTGAGCCATCGGCGGAGATCACGGATGAACCGGGAACGAACCCGGACGTGGTGAATATTGGAAACTGCTTTTGCAACGGGAAGTGCACGCCCGCTGGTCTGATGAACGTGAGCTCGTGTCGCTACGGCGCCCCAGTGTTCGCCAGTCTGCCTCACTTCTACAGAGCCGACCCCAGTCTCAGAGAACAGGTCAACGGGATCAATTCCGAGGAGGACCATGACTTCTCTATCACTCTCGAACCGGTAATTGTATAGAATTTCATTTAAAATTGACATTGATCGAGAGAGTTCATTGCAATAGGTGCTACCACTTTATTATTGCAATTCTTATCAGTATTCTATTAACGTATTTCATCTTGGAGAACAATGCACGCAACAACCTTCATATAAAATTTCTACGGTTATAAACCTAACATTCGTTACAAGGTGATTCTTTCCTATATTAAGAAACACTTTGTTAATTCTTATATAATAATTAATCGAAAATATTATCGATCATATTAATAATCGAAAAATTAATAATCGATCGTATCTGAATGAAGATATGATTTCAATCTAAATGGTAACAGAAAAGATTCATTAATTATCGACATCAAATCGTTATTGTTATTAACCCAATAAAAATTTCTACGGTTATAAACCTAACATTCGTTACAAGGTGATTCTTTCCTATATTAAGAAACACTTTGTTAATTCTTATATAATAATTAATCGAAAATATTATCGATCATATTAATAATCGAAAAATTAATAATCGATCGTATCTGAATGAAGATATGATTTCAATCTAAATGGTAACAGAAAAGATTCATTAATTATCGACATCAAATCGTTATTGTTATTAACCCAATTGTTCGAGATTCATCATTTTTTATCGAATCGTGATAACCACCTGCGGAAAGTTGATAATCGAAATTGCAATAATTATATATACTTTGATTAATCGTTCTAGACAACCGGAATCCCTCTGAGGGTGGCCGCTAATTTGCAAATCAATATCCTGCTTGAACCATCAAAGACTGTGTCGTAAGTACGTTCCCGGGAATAAATTGTGCAGGGCAATTCATACGAAAATGTAACTATAAATGATGAGGTCGATGTATAAGAAAAATTTCTGTTGCAGACTTTTCAAGAATGTTCCACGTGTTTATTTCCCGGTAATATGGTTCTCGCTGGAGGTCGACGCCACTGAGAACTTTGTCAACGACTTAAAGAAGCTGCTGGCCGTGCCGAGCGTCTGCATTTATGCAGCCGTTATTATGATTCTCGTGGGACTGCTAATTGTCTGCGGGGTCGCGCTGATATATTTTTTGACCAGCCGCGCGAAATCTCTGACCGATGATAAGGTACTTTGATCCCAGAAATATAAACGACGAAGGGAGTTCAATATTTTGAAAATTCTCATTTACGTTTAATTTCGTAATTTCGCAGAATGCCAAGCCGACAGAAAGGAAGTTAGAGTTGGTGTACATCGATAACGATAACACCAACGACGACGGAAACGTGAGAAACGATCGCAGGCTGTATCCGAATTCCATCGAGGGCCGCAACATGGATCTACAGTCGAGGCTTCAGAATGAAAAATAGAGAAACGAAAAGATTTTCATTGGACTCGACTAAAATTAGGTGTGTTGCGATTACCATTGCAAATGAATAGCTCCCTGAAGTTCGTGAGGGATGCGACGTACGCCGAATCTTTAGAATTTTAAGTCAATTCCTATGGAATATTTCTCCCCGAGAAAGGGAAGACTCCGCGAGCTTTTAAAATACTTCCCAAGAAACGTTTTTAGAAGAATTATGATAAATGTTCTTTGACAAGAAGTGATAGCAGGGTTGTAAGTTAAATCCGAGGACAGTACATTCCCCATTTTTATATTATACAACGCGAACTGTAAGACTGACGAATATCCGAGACGAGGCTCTTCAGCTCCGCTCGTTTGATTCGTGTACATCGTTTCTAAATATCTTCGGAATCAAACTACGTAGTTCCAGTTTCATTAAGGTAAATCGTATACGTTGAATGGGACCAGTAGGACAGGCTCAACAAGTTGGGCGTCGTTTTTATTCGTGCAAATAAATCAATTTGGATGGTGCCAAATATTCGCGGTCGCGCGACGATTCTATCGCCGACATACCAATGTTCCTCTCGCATCCGAAATGAAACACTCGTGCCAAATAGTCAGGATAAGCTGTTAAGTTTTTGGCCGTAGGCGGCCTGTCTACAGTGTTAATTGTTAGGATTATCAAGGACGTCGAGGATTTAAAAGAAGCTTGCGATTGCAAATCAAGTGCAATTAATAGCTGATAATTCTAAATATTCTCCTGAAATCGTACGATTTTGTATTATATTTTAATAAAAACTGTGTGAACTTTTATCACCTTCGTGTTTTCCACTGCACACTATCAATATTACTAATTTTGTAAGAAGGTAAATATAATAAAACAGAAAAGAGAAACATGCTTAGCAAGAGACCTATCGCACCATTTACTAGTTTATCTTTCACGAGCAACGTCGCAACCTGGCATATTATTTGCTGATAAGAGAGAACGTCCACACGAAATTCCATTCACATGACACCACATTATAATATTAATAATAAAATTCTATATAAAGAACACTAATTGTGACGTAAATTAATTACTATTAAATATCGTCATTTTTTATTAGTAGAAAAAAAGAGTCTGCGGATTCTGTGTAAATATACTTTATAGCTTCAGCGTTAAAATCTCTGGTCCGAGCCTAATAATGAATGGGCTTACAAGCTAGCGTGCCTGGCGATTAGATAAGAGCTAAACGCGCAATACGTCAACGTGGCACCGGTATCGACTGCACGGAATCCATTGTTTACCGCGAAAACCGTTTGCAAACCGTGAACGCCGAGCCTTGAATCATCGTAAAAAACACGTCGCGCCAGGTGAAACGACTTGTTCAACGGCAGGTAAGACATCGGGTATCGATCAGCCGCTTACATAACAATTCCTCCCCGACGCCGACGTTAACAATGGCCAACACGGGACAATTCCAGTGTCGTGGGATCGATGTCGATCGAGGATCGCCGGTCGAGGAGCTTTTCGAGACACCCCCGTCGAGCCGGAGGACCGTCGCAGGCGTTCGTGCATACCAAGAGGCAATAAGGAGAGGAAACGGTGCACGGTAGGCGATTCGCAGACGCGATAACAGCGATAAAAGGGACACGTCATTGCGTCCGTACGACGCGTAGCGAGAAAATAATTCATTCGCGCCGTTTCAACGGCGAAATAAATGAGTCAGCGTTTGGAAAAACAGTATTGCACGGTTCGAAGGCAGATGGTCACTTATGTGCATTCATATATGCCGGTTTTAATCGTTAGAGTCGCGAGCCACGCGAGCCAGGCAGGCGGTGCTCACTGTTAATTAAATGACACGAAATGCCGGGAAGAAAGCAATTGCTTATATCGCGGTCGCTCCTCGAGATCGATAACTCTTTAATGGAATCCTCGCTTCAGACGCAATTACTTAAACCGAGTTCCAATGATTATTTCCACCGTCCCGTCGATATTAGATATTCAAAATGAATTGCAACGAATTTTGCAATTTTCTCTTCGGCTATGGGCACGGCGAACATTTGCATAAAAGGGTGCCACGGTATTTAAATGGAGAGCTCGTACAGGCGGACTCTATTTGCTCTGAATTCCGACGGATTCGTGGAACGTTCCGCTGCGCAAGTACGAGGAACCGAATGCATAATCGAACATCGGAACGTCTAATTGTCACGTCTGCCGGTCGGTTTCGATTCCGTCGAGGGCTTTAAAGAGGATATCAGCGAACACTCAAGTCAGACGTGCGGAGAGAGAGAGAGAGAGAGAGAAAGAGAGAGAGATAGCGAGGCGGGTAGCAGGAACTAAACTTGCGTCGGAGGAAGAAAGCGAGAGAGACGAGAGGGGACCTTCGACTCACGCGACAAAGGAGAGTATTCCCCATTGTCTCGGGGAAACTCCCATTTTTCTATTGTATCTCAACAGCGCCGGCCCTGAGTCTGCATCTGTACATACGTAAATGCGCCCGCGCGCCGATCCATATGCACGTAGAGACGAATACACGTATAGACACGTAAGAGTCTACGTATAGGTATAAAGGGCACGGCTGTCTATATAGTATTTACACAGAGGAACGTGCAGACCGTGTGTGTGTGCCTGCACGTACACGGCGGAGCAGCGACGACCTGGAAAATTCGGAATGCACCGATGCATTTCCATTTCCTTGGCCCGTTCCGCTCCGGGAACGAGTCAAGGACAAGTCCGGGAGTTACGGCCGATTTACAAGCGACCTCACCGCGAGGCCGTTTGCGAGAGCCTCCGGTCCCGGAAGAATATCGTTTGAGACCCCTCCCACGGGCCACGGGACGCGAGAGCCTATTAAATTAAACATTAATCACCGTCTGGTTGCTGCTACACCCAGTTTCGATCCCTCCCTCTTACTCTCTCCGTCTCTCTCCGTCTCACTCTCTCTCTCTCTTTTCATTTTCTCCTCCACCCACTTACTGTCGCTTCTCCGATAAAACGTTCGAGTTCACGCGAGCCGAGAGGATACCCGAACCGCTTGCGTTGCAAGCAAATATGCGGAAAAAGCAGGCGAATTTCCCAAGAGCTGATCCCTTTTCGCGGAAGCCCGAACAGCGGCTCCAGCATAAGATACAGAGGAAATTTAATTACTGGCAAATTCAATCAAGCGATCAAATAGTCGACTGTAAATAGAAAAGACGAGTGATCTTTAGTTTGTTGGCCTAACAAGATTATTCGTACTATTTCAGACGGGACAGGGTATTTACTGGAAAATCGAACGATCGGGAAGCATCAGATAGACAGCAATTACCGCAGTTAGGTAAATACCGCGTCCTTTCTGCAAAAATCGCGTGACGAAATTGACCTATTAACAGAGTTGACCCCTCGTTCCGCCTTCGGCTGCAATTACGCTCTTTTCCCGGCTTCTTTCCCTCTTCCGTTCCTTTTCCCTCTCAGCGCTGTTTTTTTACGGTATTTAAACAATTATACACGCTTGCCGAAAGCAATATGAATCCAATCATGACGGTGAATTAAAAAATTAATAATAAAGGTTGGTTAAAGTAAAAAACATTCACTCGGTATTGGTTTATTTTTAAAAATGCATCCAATGTTCATGTTATTTTATACGAGTGTGATTTCGATGTAATTGAATTTTGATAAGCCGTAATCAGCGGAGCGCGCGTTGCGTACGCGATCAAAGCCATTGAACGTTCGAATCCCTCTCTGACCGATTGGCAATGAGATGAGAGCTTGTTTTTTTCCATCAACATACTCGACAATAATGTGAGTTATTTAAATTTATCTCTCTCTATATCCTCCTTCTTTCTCTCTCCAGAATAATAAAGTACTAAGAGTAAATTTCCTTCGCGGTGAGGAAAACACAAGCTACCACGGCACATATTGAACGACTTTCTGAATAGGTGCTCTCCTCAGATAAATTTCCTTAACACTTCACACTTACAAACTCTATTTGACTATATTTTTGAATGCAATTTCACGAGGTGTGAATGTCTGAACATATTTTAATACAATTCTAACTCAATCGAGGTTCGACTTCTTAAGGATAGATCGAGTAAAAAATACAAGCTACCACAGCACATATTGAACGACTTTCTAGATAAGTGCTCTCCTTAGATAAGTTGTCTTGAACAAACATACAAGTCCGTTCCACTACATTTTTTAATAGTTTCACGAGGTGTGAATGCCTGGACATATTTTAATAGAATTCCATCTCAATCGAGAGTCATATTTTAAGAATAGGTCAAGTGAAACATACAAGCAACCACGGGACATATTGAACAACTTTCTGTATAACTGCTCTCCTTAGATAAGCTGTCTTGAACAAACAAATTCATTTGAATTCATTTTTTAATACAATTTCATCTCAAATGAAGTTCCACTGTAAACTATAAATATATTTCAAGGATAGATCGAGTGAAAAGTACAAGCTATCACACGACATATTGAATGGTTTTTTAGACAGATGCTCTCATTAGATAACTTCCCTTCCATTCGAACACATTTTTTAAAAAAATTTCACGAGGCACATTTTTTCATACAATTTCATCTCAAACGAGTTTGAATTATCTATAATTAATCACGTTTCAAGAATATATCGAATGAAACATATGAGCTGTCACAGGACATATTAAATGACTTTTTAGATAACTGCTCTCATTAGATAAGTTCCCTTCTACAAACGTACAGATCCATTTGTATACATTTTTTAACATAATATCATATGGTGTGAATGTCTGCATATTTTTTAATACAATTTCATCTCAAACGAGATTGGATATTTGAAGAATAAATCGAATTGAAAAATACAAGCTATTACGGCACATATTCGAGGAATTTTTAGATAGCTGCTTACGTTAGATAAGTCGCCTTGATCAATCTTACAAATTGATTCCTAAAAATTTTTTAATACGATTTTATCTCAAATATTCTATTCTATTCGATTCTACTCAATCTATTATATCAATATGACTCAGTCAAATATCTATACTCAAATGTATTGCTAAAAACAATTTCAAGAATAGATCGAAGGAGGCGATATATCATGCAAAATTGACACGAGTGCCAAATTACGTGCTGTCTATTTCGAGACGATTTTAGTAAAGCTCATTACTATTTTAGTACAGCTCAGCGTTTCAGTCAATAGACAAACATTTTTAAAAACTGCGCTCAAAGTCTGCGGGGAAGACAATGGAACGTATGAAATTGGCAGTATGCAGTATTCGTACCCTTCCTGGATCGCGAACCCTCGACAGATGTTTCGTGCCCGACCCTCGGATCAGGAAACGACCCCTGTCGTCGGGTTCACGGTTCGTTCAGGTTTCGCATGCCGAACGCACGTCGCGGGCAGCAACAGATTTTTTCCTAAAACTGCTACTACCGGCTATTCGTCCCAGGATGCTATTGGCACGACACGTGGACGATTCGCCTAATTGTGCGAAGTCCTCGCACCGCACATGGGCCGACGTGACTAGACCATGACGTCGGAGATTAAACTATAATCATTTAAGATTCTCTATTCTGACTTAATCATCAATTTCGATAGGTGGAAAAAACGTGATCAAGTTTATCTCCATTATGTTCATTGTTTCTAATCACAGTGCTTAAAGAATAGTAGGTACTTTAGATAACACTATTTACATAGGCAGGTACTGTAGATACTTTAGATAGATTAGTTTAACTTTAAACTGAATAGTTTTTTATATAACAGATAAGGTATCTCTCGTACATTCTGATTCGTCAAATGAAGTAGCAATCTCTTTATTTACTATTAACAACTTCTGGTATCTCATCAGATTGTTAGGAAATAATATACGTATGTGTTAACAGTAAGGATTAGAATCATATTTCAAAGATCGAACGAAATAAATCGTAATTGTCGCGCAATTCAGCTGGCGTTCCTCCGCTGGAAGCGTACGTAGCATACGAAGCTCCCGAGAGGACATTCGTGATAAGAGATAAGCGATATCGTTTTATCGACGAGGTATGCGCGCCTATTTTGCAACGGTCTAGCTCCGAAATCGTTCGAAGCCGAAAAACGAAGCTCGGTCCGAGAGGACGACCGATTTAATCGAGGGTACTATCGATTGTTCGAATCTGGAACGTGGCGAGGTCGAATTAATTGGAGCTGGACGGTCGCGGGTGGCCTAATCGGCGAAAATTTCGTTTCTAAAGCCAGGGGCACGCGCTTATTCGCAAATAACAGCGTTTACACAGATACCGCCGGTTACCTGGCTCGCTTCGGCGACTATCGATCCGGCGCCACTATCAATTATATGCAATATTCGAGCACGCTTCGATAAGGCGTCATCTGGTTCCACAGACTTTACTTACCTCTCGACGGACCTCCCGTGCTCCATTTAATTCTCGCGCTCCTACGCAGAGTTCACCTACAAGAAAACATCGACATAACTACTTGGTTCGTTCAATTATATACGACTTAGATAATAAATAATTGATTGTATATAATTTGGTTAAATGGACGTTGATCGAATAATTCGTGCGAATTTTCTAAGGGGTGGAAGGGAGGGGGGTTTCGCTCGGCACCGGAAGGGGACAATGGGCGACGCTCTAAACAACTGAACGCGCCGGGCCCCAAATCCTTTATTTCTTTCGCCCGTCGCCGACTTCTAATTCGATCCACGCATCCTACCCCTCTCGGCGACGCCATCGAGAGGGAGAAAAAGAGAGAGCCCTCGGCCCTCGTACCTGCTCTCGTCCCCCCTTCCCACGGTCCGTTATTCGCCCCACGTTTTACCGACTGAAGTGTCGGACACGTGTGCCTACACTATGGGCCCCGTTCATTGCAAAATATAAGTGGGTATCTCCGCAAAAACCAATTCCCTTAGCCAATGGGGATACGTTGGTTTAGGCCGTGATTTAACATCTTGAAATCTGAACTCGAATTTGTCAAGATATGCTGTTCGTCTTTAAATATAATATTAATCGACAACATATAGTAAAAAAAAATAGTATATTATATATAATATTATTGTATATAATTTTGTATATAATAATAGTAAAAAAAAATACTATGGAATTGAATATTAATGAGATAAATAATATAAAACCACGTCAGCTAAAGGTCTGCCAGTGGAAAGCATGAGATCATAATTTTCCCTTAATCAGACTGAAGTCTTGTATACATTTTACTAAAGTAATCAGGAATATTCAGTAAGAAAATTTGTATCACTGAATATAATAGAAATACAATCTGAATATAATAGAAAGAAATAGAAAATAATATATAATAGAAATATAATAAAGAAATTTGTATCACTGAATATAATAGAAATATAAGAAACTGGAATTTGGACACAAAGTCTGATTATTTGAGACTCGGTTATTAATGAAACAAAATGATATTAAAAAACGTCAGACGTTAGCGGAAAGCGTTATATAATAATTGTCGCTTGATGAGGCGAGTTTCGTACAGATTTTGAGCGCGAGAGAGCTGTGCGGATCGGTGCAGAGAGGAGCGGATCGTTCGCAGAGCGGCGCGGCGCAGCACGCGGACTCCGTATCGTGTGTACGGTTGGATTTCGAGGATCGATCGCCGCGGCGGTACCGACACCGACGACGACAGTCAGTCGTTTCGAGGCTGCCGAGTTGACCGGGTGTAGTAGAGAGCGACCGAAGAGAACCGCGCCGGTTCTGCTGCCCTCTCCCTCTTTCTTTTCCGAAGTAGCCTTCGTTCGTTCGTGGTTCATCAGCGTATTTCACGTCTTTTCTCTTCGCTACTCTCGCCACTACTCTTCAACGTTTAGCACAGTGCTTTCACCGCGAGGAATCATGAAGAGTTTCACGGCCGGTCTTCTCGTCTTGGCGTCGATCCGTAAGTTCATCATTTCCATCATTAACTAAAAAATGATCGATGACCGCGCGCGGATGACTCCGTCGCTTCTCGGATTCACGGATCGTGACCGAACTCGAAACGGAGGACGTCCTTCCACTTCCGGGCGGCACGGTGTTTCGCAAATTCGCGCAATTAAAACAATCTTCCCGCTCGAAATTTAAAAATGGTACAGGGCTCGAGGCAGCGTTCATCGTTTCACCGGGTGATAAAGGAAATAAAAGATGCAATCGTTTTGGGAACTCCTTTTGCCACGGTATCGATTTTCCGACGTGAAAGTTTAAATCGAGACGACTCTTTCCGTTTCGAGACTGGGCCTCGGTACTGATCAATTGGCAACGCTTGCGTGGGAATAGCGAATTTCCGATTTCGCACGGCCGGACATCAATCTATTAGATCCAGAATCACAATAACACTGTCCTTCCTCTCCCCGTTGAAAACACCATAAACGTTTAACAGTAAAACGAATCATACGTTCTTTATCAAAACTATAAATTGCATGAAATTTCTTGCGACAATAATTCTCTATGTATATGAAGCTGATACTGAAAGCTGACGATAGGCTGATTTTTAATGGATCCCGTCTGGTTCGAATCGCGATTAATTTCGAAATGCAAACGCACACGCTGGGCGTAACCCGGTCTGCTCTCGATGGTACTCATAGCCCCGTGTTCTCCTTCATTTACTCTAATCCCGCTCCCCTTTCGACCGGCTACTGCCTTCCTTTTTCCCGCCGGCTCGTATGCTGGCATTTTCCAGTGGAGCTTTTTTAACCGAGACCCGACGCGACGCTCTTTGTATCGCGTGCCGCTCTTAAAAATAGTGCATCCTGGCCCGGCGCTGGTAACTCGCGCGAAAATAGTGCCACGATAAATTTCACCTCTTTCTCTCTCTGTTCTTCTCGTTTCGCTCGTCGAAGAATATTTCGAAAGTTCGCGGAACCATAGAAATTTCTTAGAACATTAACACGTTCTCTTCAATTAAATTGTTCACTTCTCCTATACTGGTTATTAAATTAATTAATTAAATCGAGGAAAAACGATTAAACTAATAATAATAATTTTAAGTAAAAATATCAAAAGACTTGACAGAAATAGTGTTAATGATTTATACAATGTATTATTTAATATTTATTATTTTTGTCTGCTGTATTAATCCAACGCTTACTTGAAGACAGACTTCATGACGAATTTTCCAATGACTGCAAATACTATTTATTTCGTCATATACTTTGTAAAATAATTTCGACGAAAAGTAACAGGAAGTATTGGTTAACAGTTAATCTTCGTCATGCGGCAGCGAGAGGTGACACCTGTAGGTAGATTAGAATCGCGAGGAGTCTTGAACGGTAGCCAATTTTCACGCTCGTTCACGTTCAACGAGCTACGCGGTTTTCTCCGACTGAAAAGGGACAGGGAAATTCAACAAGAGACACCGGAGTGAAACGTCGTGGCACGCGACAGATTTTCGAAGTTGCCGCCGCGGCGCGTACGTCCGACCAACGAAGATAGAGATTAAAATTGGCTAAGCTCGGGGAAGACATTCACGCGAGAACAAAAGGGTGCGTCTGCGTTATTTCCCTTGATAATTATTCACGTAGGGAGAGGCTCGTGGGCGAGATAGAAAGGCACGCAAACAATTAACAGAGAAAAATTAATCATCGCATGACCCGGTCCCTGGCCAACGGTATTAATAGTCCTAATTAGTCTAATCGACCCGGTCCTGAATCGATACGCGAAATTCGCTATTTAACGGCGATAAACACGAGCCGCACTCGTTAAACGGACTAGTTAACGACCCTTTGTCATTTATGTACAAACACAAAACGCGTCGTATCGCTCGTCGTAAATATTATTGAGGAGAAACTACGTATGGAGTATATCAGCAGCCAATAGAATTTCATAAAAATGTTTTTCCGTTTTTTCCGTTCGACGATCGATACGCGTTTCCATTCCGGGGTAGAAATTCGCGGAGAAAGTTGGACAATTAAATCGATAGAAACCAGAGATAATTGACCGTCCGGTCGACGGAATTGAAATTGACGACACCAGAATCGGTCTATGTTCTCGTTTTTAATTCTCGCAAGAACAGATAATTGAGATCTGGCTTTCTCACGGGAAGATTGTGTAACCGAATTGAAATGAGCTGTAGAAGTACAATGGTTTGACACAAGAAACTGATGAGACCGATTCAGTTATTTTCTAATTCCCAGTGCTTGTCGATAGCCACGGCGAATGTACGCAGAACGATTGTTCGCAATCTGAGTTCGTTTGCGTAAGGAGACCGTGCAGTGTTTGCCGTGGATCGTTTGAGGTGTTTTTTATCTGTACGAAGGAGGAGGTGACTCATACGACCGTAATTCCCTTTATCATTATCAGAGGCCCCAGGGCCACGTGCTCCAATTTTAACCGAACGAGGAAAACACGTTTGGAAAATATTTGTCTTTGATAAAAAAACTATGTTCGTCACGTAGGAGCCGTTCTTGCCGTAACGAGGTATTAAGAGACTAAATCCACGCGCTAATAACCGGTCAAGTAACAGCCAAGGAGAGAAAAACAATCCGGGGTATTTAGTCTGTTTCACAATCGTTGAAACTCGGTTTTATAAGTACAGTCGATAAAAATCAAATTTAACTAATATGAGTTACCTTCTGTTCACTGATTTTATCGAAAGAAACGTTGCACAGATTTTTAAGAAGTCCCTGAACGATTTCCAACCTAGGAGCATGAGCGGACGTAAAAAGTTTCGTGATATAAAAATGAAATCGTCAGGGCTACGAGATCAAGATCGCATCCGAGGGCTTTCACAATGAGACGTGATCAAAATGAACGAGCGAGCCTCGAACCTGGCGACGGAACGAGTTCCCTCCTTGTACATTTACCGTGTTGATTCCTATGTTAGCAGAGCATCAAACGCAGATACCTGGCCACGTGAAACGCGACGCGACGTATGTACTATGTACATTTAGTCGCGGGAACGTTCTCCGCTTAATCTCGTTATACAAACGGTCGACCGGACGCGCTCGAGCCTTGGGGTTGCCGCGTAATGAATTTTCAATTAAGTAACCGAATTTTACAAAAGGAACTCGTTCTGTCGACAATCTTGCCTTCTTAGGCCAGAAGGACTGCTAAATTGAAGGTCCTTTGAACAAGGACTACTTCGTTCAAAGTAGTTTAACACTAAATCTACCATGCACAGTCCAAACGACTTAAAATTTTTCTAAAAAAATATAAAGAAAATTGTTTCTTATATTATTAAAATTGTAATTATTATTTAATGTTAATTATTATTTAAGCTGGTGCCAAAATGAGCCACCAGTGCCAATAATAGAAATTGGGACATTTACTCCAGAATATACTACGTTGTGCAAAACTGTGAGTAAGTTTAGTGTTATTCACTTGAAGAATTTCGCGTTCTCGTTCACCTGAATTTCGTCTATCAAGGCTTAATATTGTGTACATAACCGGGACTAGGGCTTATATAAATTCCATGAAAAGAGACTTGTACTAAACGGTACATATTAAACCCGTTAAAGTATATGTACGCATACTATGCCCATCCCTGCACACAAACACGGATGACGGATTAAGAATCGACTTATCGCAAAGCTGGAAACCTTGAATTGCGTCATTGAATCCATGATAGGATCGGGCTTGAGAGCGTGGGTCCACTGAAATTATCGTTATCCTTTTTCGCCGACGTAACGCGGCATCAACAAAACTTCTACGGCATCGCATCGCAGGAAGTATGTAGATCACGCTGTATAATCTATCGTTATTATCTTATCAAGACTAGATACTTCGTCATTGGCAGGGCTTGCGAGGCTTTCGATGCGCGCGACTTTTACTATTGCGAACCGGTGAAACTCTGCCCCCGAGACGCTTTCCACGCGCGTCGCGCTCGGAACTGTTAACACGTCGAAGCTGTTTACTGGGGACGAGTTTTTAAAATGGCAATTGAGAAATGAACAATGATCGCACTTGATGTTTTCTGATTTCAAACAGAGACGCTGGTAACATTTTCAAATAATACTTAAGAAAACACGTGTTACATAAACACGGTTTATGTTTGGATTATCGTAATTTTCCTGTCATTAGACGGCTGTTATCTTGTTGACCTTTGAGAAAATTCTACCGGCAAGGCTTTTAAACTTTGTCGTTAAGCCGCGTTGACGGCTCGTCGCGTCCGCTAAACAAATTGCGACGTCACGGTTAAGGCCAGTCGATATTTAAAACAGCTTTTTAGGTCAAGAGTAGAATTTTCCTCAGTCGACGGACTTCACATGATTCTACCGAAATTCCGGTCGCGGTCGTAAGCCGGAAATGGGCCAGATTCTAAATTCGAGATACAAGCATACATACGTACGTGTCGGGACCACCGTCAGGGGTCTTGGTTCCGCTCGAATCCTATCGGCGTTTAACGTGGAAATTGGAATTTCCGATAGTTCCACTGCGAATGGAACCCGGAGATGCATATACCTACGTACACCCCCCCGTTCACAAATCTCAAAACTTCCAACTAGACGAAACAGTATAAAAACATACATAAAACAAATAAGACAAGTGATTTCTTTCTCTGACAATTTAAATAAATTTTCATCTTAACAAGTTGGAGATTTCTTACAAATTGTTGTTGGAATAGAGACGGGACTTATAAATGTGCAGGCAACTCGATTACAGACCTGGCTATAACTCAGAGCTCGATATCGAACCTGAATCCCCCGGTAAATTCCGACGGAAATCCTCGCGCGACTCCAAAAGTGCAGTCTAAGCTCGACGGGAGGAAAAGTAGTGGAGTACCGTGCCAGGTATTCGTCTGTATCGCGTAAAAGCGGCTTTCACTCGGGAGGAACAGGAACAAGTCGTACACGGACGCCGGCGTTAAAGCTTTTCCCCGGTTTGCAGACGAAAAAGGAGGAATGATCAAGACCCTTGAAAATGGAAAGACTCACTCCATTCGTTTTATTTACACGTACGAATGAATAAAATGTCTTCACGTGTTTGCCTTACAATTTTATTGCATACTGTTGATCGGTCTGCAGTTAAACTCTGTTATTTATTAAACTTTGTATATCAATATTATGTATATATAAAATAATAAAAAGATATTGTATATTTAATATCGTACATTGCATTTATCTAAAGTTAATATAATTTTCAATTAATAACAACTTGGTGAAATACATGAATTCTGATTTTATACTATTGGTTGTCCTGCATTTTCACATTGTTATATCGTATAATGAATTGATCGTAAATCAATTGATATTGTTCTCAATTAATAAAATATTACTTGGTTAATTGCATTCTGCTTTTGTACTGTTCATTCTTCTGAATTCTGATACTGTTTCTACGTGCATGTTTGCACTGCGTATACGATATAACTGTCAAACTGCAGAACAGTTGATAGTATGAAAACAGAATGCATTTACCTAAATTGATACAGTTTTCAATTGATAAAATGTCACTCACTTTGTTAATTGCATTCTGATTTTATACTGTTGATTATTCTGTACATTCACGCTGTTATATTTATTCTGCATTTCCCTAAATCAGTATGTATAGTTTTCAGTTGATAAAATATCACTTGTTTCGTTAATTGCATTTGATTTTACAGATGCAAAAAAGGTCCCTTACAATTTTCTTCTAACTCCACTCGTTAAAGTGTAATTGATTATGAACATAATAATTCATCAATTAGTCCTTAAGTATTCGACAGAAAAAAATTGTATTCGACGTTTTTTGAAGGTAGCAGCAGTACCTACAACTATTATTCGAAGTATCTTTCAAAATTCCGCAAAAAAAATTTTTCATTTTTTTGAGATTTTTCCAAGGGATACCCTTCAGATTTTGCGAAATTTTCGTTTTTTGCCCATAACTTCCAAACGGATGGACTTACGGGGACTTTTATACGATCATTTTGTAGAGGACGACGAGATCTACAATTTTCATGTAAAAATTCTTTGCTAGCTTCAATAGTTTACGAGTAATTTGCAGAAAACTGTTTTTTTGTTTTTTGTAAATTACTAGTTAACTA